AGTAACAGTAAACCTTTTTACCTTTTGAGGTACGGAACCCTGAAAAATTGTATTTTTTGTTTTTAATACTTAGATAAAAACATTACCTACACATTAGAGGTATTCTTAGAACATTAGAAAATCACGATTCGTGTTTCTCAGTTTAAGCCGAGTTTGTTTGAAAATTCACTTTAATTTTAGAACACGTTCCACTTATTATAAAATTGCAGACGTTGGTTTGTTAGTGATGCAAACTGCTAACATAAACTAAATACAAGAAGAAAACTATTTGATTGCGATTTTAGGCAACTATGAATTCTACTAGGTTTTTGTATTCGTATCTAGATGGTAAAAAAGTATTTATTCGAAATAAGTATAGCCAAAAACCAAAACGCACAAACAAAATCACTTAGACACTCCTTAAGAAAGCTTGTACCTACTCATATTTCTTCTTGACTCATCTAATTCGAGAAAGCCGGGAATGAGCCAGGCCTGCCTACGGATTTAAAAACAAGGGTAACACTCATTTTAGGAATATAAAAACACGAAAAGATTGCAAGTAGTAGGTACCTACTAAGCATTCAAGGTTTTTCCTCCCTTCTCTTTTCAAACATATTGTACTAGCGGTTTCTAAGAAAGTTCGATTTATGACAGTCAAATGACGACAAATACAACGGAATATCTTTTTAATTCTAATACTGAATTTAAAAGATATTCCGTTGTATTTATTTGTAAATAATAAGTAAGATATTTTGTAAATAATAATAAAAAAATGCAAAATAGACTTTAATACCATTATATTTATTATTCATACGATACCGACGAGAACTGTAACTTGATGATACTTTCAACTATTCATATTATAACTAATTCCTAGTAAAATAACAAAAACATAAGTTAGAAGACGAAATTTAAGGATCGTTGACACCTATGGTTCCGGTTGGGTAAGCATTAGATTCTGAACACGTATCCGACGGATTAGTCATACCTGTACGCTAACTATTAGACAAACTTGACTTCGCACATTATGAATCACGAAATCAGAACCCAAATAATTCGTAGACATGCTTATACTTGCCGTAGGTATACATGTACAGTTTGCATCAATTTATACATAAGGGAACCAAATCTCCATAAAATGGGGCCTATTTAAAAGTAGGTACATAATGTACAATGTAACGCTACTTACGTCGATTTCACTCCAGGAGCAATACTGAAGCCTGATATCGCATTAAGCAAAGCCTGCATTGTAAATACCCTGCTGATACAAATTTAATAAATTAATTACCTACTTACATATTAATATATGATACATTAGATACATCGTAGTGATTGTAGATATAAATAGACATCGAACCAATGATTGTGCTCATCACACAATTACTTATTGGTCGTTGGTAGAAATTAATGTCCGAAATGATATAATCAATAGCAGGAAAATCAGTGATGACTTAACAGCATTTTTGAAACTGCAACAATTATAAAAAACAAACAATATATATAAAAAATAAACAAAATATAAAAACTAGAAATCTACCCGCTGACACACCATGGGCAATAGTATCTAAGTACTAGAACTGCTGAAGTATTAGGTACATAAAAAAAAATCCCGTTCGAAGACTCAAAAATTCCCGTTATGTGTATTTAAGAATCATACTTGTAAATTTTAATATTCGTCCTGACATCGAGAAAGAAAATATATTATTATATTGTGTAATAAAAATATCAATTGGATGAATTGCACCAGTATTGTCCGTGTTGGAGCTTGGACGTAGGCGTGAACGACCAGCCATGGCCACAAAAGCAGAGGCCAAACCCCAAATGTGTATGCAAATTAAACGTCAATGAGATCACCGCATTGTTGGACTCCTCGACCTTCGCATTTTACCACATTATTCGACTAATTGACAACATCAGTAATGTTTGACGTCGTTTTGCTTCAAAGCATTATTAAAAAAAGACATGATATCGTTTATGTTTTCAATAATACTTTGGTCACGCTATCTATGTATAAGTAGATACTTTATCTATTATCTTTATAAACCTTGGACGTAAATGCATATAGTGATACGGATATAATAAGTATATACACATGTGACTGTTAAGAATTACATGAAACAAGTATTTATTTGTACAGACATTTTAACATATAGATTGTACTTAAATAGATACTTCCCAAACCTGGTCTTAAGCAAGAACAACGTTGGAACAGCGTTGAAAACATTATAAACACGTAGAGACATTTTCCTGAAGTATGATGAGCACATACCTACCATCAGATTTAATCTTAAAAGAACTGTATTTGTTTTACCTTTTAAACCAAAATGTTCGTTTGCTACCTGTGTTATACCTGTATTTCCTAATTCTAACTGCGTTGCTCAGTCGCTGCGCCTGGCATATACTACTTTAAGAAATTTTGGTCATCATGAATTTTCGTTTTGGGCCTTACAAGCTAGCTTCCAATATATGAAGATTGCAGGCTTCTGCTCCCACTCTTAGGAAACCTACCTTACAGTTAAACAAGATAACAGAAAATATATCCATCATGATTCGGCGAAATGTCAAACTTTGAAATTTCTGTATCATAAATCAGTTATTTAAGAAAAAATCGATTAGTTACTAAGAGAGTTGATTTATTTAAACAAAAAAAAAATTAATTTAAAAAAGGGTTTAGGGGCACAGAAAATTGACAAAAAATTGAAACAGATAGGGAAAGCTTTTAAAAACTAGTATTGTGTCGATAAAGATAAGCGGAAATGTAATCTAATAATAATTTATCACTACCAAGAATGTTGCCGAAGTATTTACTGTCGCGTCGCCGTTGTCATAATGATATTACTATTTAGTTATTACATGTACCTAATAAAAGAATAACTAACTCATTACCACGGTCATGTGAAGATGACTATGACTAATGCACGTTACAGCTGCTCTAATCTCGTTCAGGGTCTCATTAGCACGTGTAATTAATCAATTAACTACTTCTTTATAAAACAAAGTACCGTTATTCTAAAATGTTACACGCCTAAAACAATGGAAAAATGTACATAAGAACAAGTTGCAACATATCCAGTAGACACCAACACGACTTCTAAAATGTAAGTAGGTGAGGAGAGTATTACTTGCACAATGTAGGATTATTTTCGGATATCTGTGGGATCGCTCGGTCTTCTTTTTTCATTTTTATATGTTGCTTTATTTTCTCTGATTTGTCTCATTTATTGGGTAAATTAGTACAAACAAAGTTTTCACTAACCCAAACCGCCGATTCATTAACATAAGGTCAACCGTCAACCTGTTCACCTAGTTTCATTAATATGTACATACAGATTGTACGAAAAATTGTAAAAACATATAACGATGTTTGCATTTAACTAAATACAACTTCATCGATTAATTTACCAACATTAGTTAAAGCTTAATAAAAAAATTGTCCCTCAAACTAATAAAAAGCCCCTCAAACCGATTTACATCCAAATCAGATAATAAACCAATACCATTTCGACTCTAGCTCATCATTGCTCTTGACAAGTTTAACATCACAATCACAAAACTCAGAAATATGATCCCATTCAGTTTTAAGCTACAAAACTCCTTACTGTAATCATCAAAACTTCACTTGTTTTTTTTATGGGTAGGTACCTACATTTCATAGCGAAGTGAAAACAAAGACAATAAAAATGAATATGTAAATAAATCAATGTGATTAAAAAGGTGACCTGAAGACTTATTGTAGTAGGGACAGTTATGTAGTAGAGATCTTGATCTTGCCTTTAAATCACTCATGACATTTTTCTACGATTTATTTTAGTTAGGTACATATGGATAATCTAAAATATAATTAAATTATCTATCTAATGGTAGTTGAATGAGAGCGAAATACCTCACTTTTAATTAAACTACGCGTACGCTTCTATCGTACCATGAACCCGTCTAAATTTAGCTGAAGATCTATTTTAACCCCTTCAAAAGTGAAGGGCTTAACCTTTTACGTGTGCGTTCTTATTTGTTTTTTTAAAACTTAAAGGGATAATATTGTTTTATTGTGTATTTTTATCAATCAGCGTCAAGAATAAATATCTAAAACTGAATTCTAGAAATTCGTTCTTGTACAAAAATTTATACTGCATTAATAACATTGTGATTCACGTTGGTATTAAAAACTTTTGATTAGAGCAAAAAGTAGAACAGAGTTGAATTGTGTTCTGAATCCATTGTATAGCTCAAATTTTTCTCACCGCGAACGCAAACAACTCCAACAATTTTAGTTCTAACGGTTCTTTGAACGAAACTCGTGTGAGGTAAACACATAGACAGCCAAACTGCATTTGAGTGTGATCTCTAGGCGAGTGCAATACTTATAAGTTCTACATTCAAGACGTGGTTAATACTGTGCTCGGAATCTGTGCGTATCTTGTCGGGATCGCAATCTTGTTGTTTGTGAGAATCGGGTTTCTATTCAGTTACCAATTATCTAATGACTGTGAATTATTAGTGATAAAGACTAATCTCTGGGTAAATATAGACATTATTAAAGTACAAACAGTTTGAATACACATATTGGCATTCAACAAATTATAACAAGAGTGTTAAGTGTTTTCAACGAATTTAGGACATTTGTTTTAATATTCATTATATAATGAGGCGGTCGGCGATCAGTTGCTGCCTCGCGCGCTTTCACTCCGTACGCTATTAATTACGTTCACGATTGTGTTCAGTCAGTTATATTTACTCAACTGTTTCGACTGATGAAAGATAAAGAAATAGCTAAAGTGGCGCTGTGTACGACGTCCGTATCTTATCGAATCCACTCTATTGATCACTCGACACATATCGCGAACGGCTCGCCTTATGCGGACGACCGTGCCACCTTTATTGTCCAATTTAACATATAGACGTGTACTGTTATAGCCGCGATGTTACCGGTGAAGTCATAATGTGCGTTGTACAAAAATAGAATTACAGTGTTTACAGGAAAATAGTATCAATAACAAAGTGTTGCGGTTTGTAATTGAACGGAAATGGCGGCCAAATCGCCTACGATGAGTGTGAAGTCGCGGGAAATGATCGGCGTGGATCAGTTCAGTCAGCGACGCGAAGTGTTCGACAAACACGACACTGTGTTTTTGCCGCCGGCGTCGCCCACTAACTTGGTGCCAAGCTATAAGGAAGTGGAACCAATCATTACCTCCAACCACGGGAAAACGACGACCAATTTCAAACGTAACACTCCTGGATACTCCAGCATGAGGGAATCAAGGACGGACGAACGAGATTTCGAATTTCGACCTAGAAAGTACTCCGATAACTTTACGTCAGAGTTGAATCAAAGTGACGATGTCGAATACAGACATACCATGACCGACAGGACCCGGCGCCTCTCAAAACTTCGCCGAGATTTCATGACCTCAAATTTGCATGACCCAAGTACAAATAGCCCTTTCAACCGCTCTGGAATACGGGCTTCGATGCCAGTCAACAGTACACCTGTGAAATATAAGATTGAGAATCTTAATTTATATAAATTTCCCTTCGCCGAGCCTTACTCGACTCCGACACCTGTACGCAGAGTGGTTCTGGATCTAGGTCCGTCAGAAAGTAACGGCGTTGAAGGGAATCAAAACCCGGAAACGACGAAACACCTAAGTCTTACGAACAATAATGAGTCCCCAACTAAAATCGACCAACAGAAGTTATTCGAGGAACTGCTAAAGAGGTATTCACCTCAACGTAAACCCATTGACTGGCAGTTGCCTCCAACTAAGCCCAGAGTTGTAGCGTCTGTACCCAAGTCTAGTTCTAGTGTGGCCGACAGTATTGATAGTGCTGATAAGAAAATTAACGATGACAAAACTGAGGATGACGTGTTTGAAAAGAAGGAGGAAGTTGAACCAGTTCCCTCCGTTGTAAATGAAAACTCTGTGGAAACCCATAGTGATGGACCTGAAAAGAAACCTGAGGAAATTAAAACGGAAATCGTAGAGAATGGAATTGATTCTTTAAGTGCGGCTGGCGTGTCGAATGAGAACGATTCCAAGTCATCTCAAATCGAATTAGAAGAAAAACAGGATCAGGTACCAGAGTTGTCGAATATTCAGAGACAAATAAGTAGAGAATCAACCAAGAAAAAGCCGATAGAAGTAGACTTAAGAATACCAGAACTGATAGAAAAGATGACTGCTGAAGGTGAAAATTTGGAGAATAACAAAAAGCCTAAGAAAGTAAAGCGAAAACGCAGTTTTCTTGACAAGTTGCTAGGACGTAAGAAAGATAAATAGTATACCGATATATTGTAACATTGATGTGATATTGAAAACAATTCTGCAAATATTGCAGGCTAGCCAAAGATTATTAGAAGCATGATGTCATTTCTGTAATCTTTTGATACGTATTTATTTCTTTATGTCGAAAAGGAATAAACCGATAGATTTATTTATATCAATATAATTAAGGCCAGTCTTCCTCTGTTTTTTATCGTTATGCATTGGTTGGGTTATCACTAGCTGATAAAACTAAGTGCCATGTGACACTCCCTATCTGCCAAATTCTGTTACAAAATAATATGAATAACTTGTTCACCAACTCGTCAATAAATTAAAATTAACCTGTAGCTATCTCCTCCAAGTTTAATTAAAATGTAAACGATCATTTTATTGTTAGTTATTATTTAAAACTGTTCATTTATTTATATCATGTAATATATGTATGTAAACCGTTATATAACTATATCTGTAAGTTACAAAAAGGTCGTTTACATATTGAATATTAATTTAATGTTACATTATTATTTGCCTTTACTGGTATTGATTAACATATCCTGTAAATTTTCCTCCCCGGCTGAACCAACATTTATCACATATAAATGAAGTCATTACCTACAAATAGTATTAACTTGAGCATAATAATAGTGTCATATACCCTATGTAAATATTTTTGAAAAGATACGCTAGTGAGCCTAGAAACCAAATATTTTCTTAATAAATTTATTATGTTTTGAAAACGTTTTTTTTATTACGAAACAAATAAAACAATGCTTTAAAAACATGAATTATATTTTAATAATATTAATAACTCTTACATATCACAGTGCTTTATGTTGTTATTAAAAATAAATAAAAATATTTATTAATAACACTCGATTTAAGTAATTTATTGAACGACATTTACTTATTATAATGATTTCAGTATAATGATACCAATAACTATCGCGTTCTAATACAACTTTAATAGACATTAATTACATTTGATAGATAAAAACTAGGAACATTAAATTGTTGGCAAGTTTGTCACCTCATTAATAACAAACTTACTTTTAGATTTTTACATACATAAAATCACACAAAGAATATTTAGAACAGCAGAATAGCTAAAGCATGTTTTCAATTATTGGAAAGAAATTATTGTTGTAACCTTGGTGGCAACAACCAAATTTGTGCATGCCTCAGATTTGTAGAATGTATCTTCGTGTGTGTTTGTTTGTCTTTGTTTAACAAGGTTAATAAGACTTTGTTCAGCAAAAACACACATACATACACACATGTTTTTATCATAGTTATCAATTTTTATAACAAATGGTTTACCCCATGCAGGGATTCAACCTACTAGATAGAGTCTGTCCCATTGACACCTCCGCCTAAGTTAAATGGTAGTGTTCGAAGTGTGTAAACCGGCAGTCACTTGACAGTAAGTCATATAACTTAGCGATTACGCTACCGCTGCTTATATAAAAAACTATTGTGGAATCGGTGCTGTTGATATTATTTTCCATAGTGCACTGGGCTTTTTAATTTTCAATTTGTTATCTTAAGTAATGTAATTTTTCATGAGATAAAAAAATTATTTTCCCAAGCGGTTCATTAATGACGGAATGCTGAGGTAACAAACATTAAAAATAAGGTTTTCGATTCGCCTCTGTGCCGAATTGAAAACATCCTTATTTTTAAGTAATAAATGATTTTGAAAAAAGATGGCACAAAATTGATCTTAAGATAGATAACTATTTAATACGGACAAAGTTTATAACAGAGTGAGAATACATAATATACTAATACTATACCCCACACATCTCACATCCGTCTGATCTCAAACTAGGCAAAGCCTGTGCTATGGTAACCCAACTGCTGATAAAAATACTTAGATATTTTATACACCCAGACACAGAAAAAAATACAGTGCTCATCACACAATATTTGTCCTGGGTGGGAATCGAACCCACGACCTCCTGCTTAGCAGTCAGGGTCACTAACCACTAGACCAACAGGCCCCTAATGTAAACAAGATTTATTGCATTAGTGTCGCAAAAAGCCAAAAACGTTGACCGGTAACATTCATTTCATTGTATCTATATTATTTGCGTAACTAAGACTAATTCAATGATACCTCTTTGTCGAAATTATATGTCCAAACAAAGCAAGTATATTTTTACACATAATAGTAACAAAATATATGCAATACCTTTTTTTTTATGTTATATGGATATCTTTTTACATTTGTAGTCACTGCAAGTTTATATGTAAACTTGATATCGTTTTCATAAATCATTGTAGACTAATAAAAATGACAAATTATCAAATGAAAACGTGTCTTATGAAACTGATATGTATATAATATATACATGAGAAGTTTTCACAAGTTTACAAGTATATCTTGTACTGTAAAATCAAAAAATATAGAAAATCACCTACATACATTTTTTGTATTTAAAATATTATACACTACATACATCAGATAGAATATATACACATCGTCTCGCTAAATGCAAATATACAAATATCTGTGGCATACAAATATTTACACTAAACAGTAATCGAACTTATCGCTATGCAATATGTATCAACTAAAATTAACATCTGCTCAACAGTAGCGTATGTAGGGAAAGTAAGAAATACATTTAAACACTAGATTGGACGGGCTAAAGACCACATAATTATATTAACAAATACGTGTTACTACAAAGACAATAACGTAAGTAGGTATGTATATTTGTAAAACATATGCGTTTACTAGTTACAGGAAAGATAATATTCTTTACATACAAGGTTAAGTCATTAAAAATAAATAAAAAGCTATTGTAAAAACCCCTAATAGCATACATTTGGTTTGACCTTGACAATGTCACGATATAACATCGACTTGTCTTTTAATTTGAAAAAAATACTCAGTATCATTAAACAAACAAGTCACTCTACTTATTACTATAATTATAATTAAATAGACTAAACTGGTCGTGATATTTGGCAAAAAAAGATTTAAAGTCTACGAGTAGGTACCATTAAAACAGAAGCATGGGTCAATGTCATGAAACATAAATTAATATATTAAAATACTACGTTTCAAAATGGTCTTCAAATTAGAAATACTATGACAAAATTAAATGTTAACTTTGAAGAACTATGGGAATACGTATTAAAGAACCGGTACAAACATCAAATGAAGAGTAGGTCTTACACAGTCTATAAAATTGTATTGCCAAATCTACTAGGTATTAACTATTTTTAGAATAGTAAATTGACAAAAGATAAAGCACAAAATAAAAGGTTAAAGAAGAGGACGTCTTTGTTCCACGACGAGCCAATGCGTAAGAAAAAAGACTGCATCGTAACTTAAGTCGATCATTATCAACTGCTACACATAAATTGTTAACAAAACATTTGCTATACTTTGATCATTGTTTAACTAAGTTACTAAATATTTCTAGTGTAGAAGTCACACTTAAGAAAGAGGTCACAAAAGGAAAGGCAGGCAAGTCAGCAGGCAGGCAGGCAGTATATCTGGATTCGTACAATTTTTTTGATGTGGGTTGTTCCGATTTCCAGTTGAATTTTACTGGTTTGTAGGTACTGTATCCCGTCAATCCAAAAACTGGGCCTGCCAAAATTAACCGCTTTTTTTATCGTGTGGACACTCACGTATTATAAAATATATTTTTTTTTTCAATAATTAATGTTAACGTTAAATAACCGATGGTAAAAGTCACAAGGAGTTGCCTACCCTTGAGGTGCCCACCACAAATTGTTTATACATAATTATATTTTTATATCACGTAACTAAATAACTGGCAATAAGTCGTTGCGGAGTCAAGTGCGATTTTATAACCAAATTTAAAAAACTACATTTGTGCCTAAAGGCATCATTACAATACTTAACAGATATGTAATCTTAGCGAATGTGTTTCTAATATTCTGTCTTTTATTACTGTCTTTTGTTACTTTATTTTATCTATTTTATTTTCACTGCTATACGTTAATAGCTAATTTTTTGTTTGCTTACATTGAATCACAATAAGACCGCTAATATCTTACACTTCTCACTACAAAATAGTACATTTCACTAACATTAAATAATTTAAAAAGTGGCCGAGTTTCTTTTTTTTTTATCGATTTTATCTCCCAAGGCTTAAGTTTTTGGAAACGGTTGGTTACTTAGAATAATAACGCTAATTATTAATACGTTGTTACTCTAAGGATGGTTAGATATCGATACTGACAGATAGCAATTGTGCCTACTTGCAAAATGTTATTTTAAAATGCATAGTCTATGTATTGTCATATGATAAATACTAATAGTGAGTCAACTCAGCTAATTAGAGGAGGAAGTAGCAACGCTGTGGTGCGGTATGAAGGAGAGCGGAGTCCCCCTTATGTCCCCGATGTCTGCGGTAGTAACGGTAGTTACTCGCAATATTTTTATTGTTTGATTAACTTACAGTAGTACTATTTTCTCTTTACTTTACCAATAATAAAATATTAGAGAAAGAACGTATGATAAAACTTTCGATGTATGTATTTAGTGGTTTAATACACATATAATTACAAAATTACTTATGGTATTAATTATATGTTAATTACATATAATAACATTAACGTCGTGATAAAAAGCTGCAAATCACATGTTTGTAAGAATTCAATTTTAATTAAATCTTTTGCCATTATTTTCACCAACTGAAATCACGAAACGAATATATTAATAATATATTAATAATAATTTTAACCTGTTTCGTATAATTTGTTCAACCTTTTATCCAATATTGGAAATGGAATAGGAACCCGGAATACCGCTATACAGGTAAAATATAGTTAAGGCAAATATTATTTTTACCTATCTACCTACCATCGTGATCGTTTTTGTGACAACCCTTGCACACTTTTAGTCGAGACAATCTAGTAGGTATTTAGCGGTGTATCAAAGGAGTTGACTCACCATAAGTTTTTGTTACACATGTGGTCTGTGTGGTAACGGATTACGAATACGGCATGTCACCACCCCTATTCATCCCATGAGTGTCTCAAGAGCCGACTTAGGGAACAAACTACGCAGGACAACAGCACTGCAAAGAAAAGGAAAACTTGAAACAAACCATATAACAACCCATCTAGCCAGCGTGGTATAGTAGGCCAAACCCTCCTTTTTAAAGAGAGGCCTATGTCCAGCAGTGGACTCGTAAAGTCTGTTTCTGATGTTGATGACACATATGGTATTGTTTCACTTTCAACAAATCATGGTTGATTTGATTTTCTAGTGACAGTGTTATCTATAAAAGTTAGTTGAAAAAGATAATTTTAAGCAACTTAGTAAAAAAATCTATGAAGTAAGTAATAAGTATTTGATTTTATCTTTTAACAATTGTAAATAATAATATGTTATAATAACGACCAACCAAGCGACTCTACAATTCAGGGTCGATACTACGAATTGCCTCTTCTAGAGCAAAAAGATGGTCGTCTGTGACTCCGGGAGCTATTGACCTCATAGCAGCTGCGAGATTGTAGACATATTCCGTATTTGAACCACTGGGACCAGTACATGATACGACTTGCTTTGCTATATCTTCTATGGATGCTGGACCTGTAAAATACAAATTCACATTTGAACCTCAATTTACCATCATAATTTTAATTTACTCGATTTTGTTGGATGTATTTGCGTCTTATGAGTATGTAAGACTATATTTTAATCTACATTCTAATTTTTTTTTTGCATATGTGCAAAGTAAAAAAGAAATGACCAATTTTTCTGTGCTCTAAAAAGGCTCTAACTAACCCGTTATTCATATGAAAACCACATAATTTTCATTTTTTTAACTGTTTTGTGTTTAGGTTGTTTGTATTATAAATAATAATATTACCTGCATTATGACGACGAGTGCACTTCCTTACAATTAAATTGTCAGATTTAAACATTTCTACTTTCTTTATCAAATTAATTTACTGGCACGTAAAAAAATCTGCTATTTTATGACAGTTTATTAGATTGCATAATATATTCTCTATTATGTATAGCACAATAAATGAGATGATTATGAAGAACAAATGACCACTGTACAGTACCAGCTTTATTTAAGGAATTCATTTGATAGAAGGAAAATAAATTAATGAGAAAGAAGAGAAGGTGGATGGACTGCGTGAGGGAGGATATGGCTAGCAAGGGAGTAAACAGTGAGATGACGCATGACAGAGTAGAATGGAAAAATCATACATACTGCGCCGACCCCAAATAAAATTGGGAAAAGGGTAGGCAGATGATGAATGATTTGATAGAAGGAAAATAAATTAATGCTTTTTAAAAAATAAATTATTTTACATTTTCCCTTCCATCATAGAATATTTATAAAGTTGTATAGTTGTATACTAATAAAAATTAATAATAAGTGGGTGTGCATTTTATTTTGCCATTGCATAGTATGCAAAGCGATCGCCTACTTGTGTGCTCAAGATCTGTGCCGGTACCAGATATATACAAATTAAAATAATTGTCCTTGTAGTGACGGATTAAGAATACGGAATGTCACAACCCCAATTCATCCCGTGGCCGTGGGTGGGTAAGAGTCGACTAAGGGCGCAAAACAACGCAAGAACTGCAAAAAGAGGGAAAACTTGACACAAACCCTATACCAACCCGTCTGGCCATCGTGGTATAGTAGGCTAAAACCTCCTTTCTAAGGAGAGGCCTATGTTCAGCAGTGGACTATTAAGGGGTGTTGATGTGATGATGATGTGAAAATAATATGCTTGTTATTGGAGTGTTATCTTACCAGCAAAAGATTCATTCTCCTCAGTAGCAACATACAGAGTCAATTCAAAAGGCTTGTGATTTACATCTTGCGGGTGGAATGTAACAGTTTTCTTTGAATACCCATTCTTTTCCCTGAAGTCTAGATGCTTAGTAACTTCGTTGATGTCTTCTGTCTTTATTTTGTATGCTACACCCCATACTCTGCTGTCAGCATCACTACTTTGGATGAGTGTCACTACACGACCTGGCTGGAAAGTAAATAAACGTGTGTTAAGAATGAGATAGCATAGTAGTTTGTGGGTTTTTTTTATTTCATATCTAAGCTCCTATTTTACATTTATAAACTTTTACATTTAAGATTTTTTATGTGATCAACACTCAAAGATATTTCATTCATAACAAAAATCTTAACATCCTACTTAAGAATGGGCTAATGGTGCTAATTGTTCAGTCTCAGTATAAATTTTTATTAGGAAATTAACAAGAATTTACTTTTTATACAATCAGTCACTATGCGAAATAACAAGCTTTGATGGGCATTTACACTTACCTAATGAAACAAAGGAAAAAATATTTAAGATTTAATAATCTATCTTAAGGATAGCTATAGGGTATATACCATTATATTAAAATAAATAGCAGCCAAAACCATAAGTTACATAAAAAGATAGCAAAAAGCTTGTTTTTAAGTAACATACATACTTACACTTCAAGCCTAAATCCTAAGAATGGGAAAGCACAGGTGTATTAAACTCTCAAATTTTACCATCATTTATAAGTTTAGTTACGTTCCCACGTCCAGTGGTTTTGCTCGTAATAAGGAGCAAACTATTTTGCAATCAACAGACCACTTTAGGAAATAAACGAAAAAATATCAAAAAGGCAAAGTTGCACAAGAATGGAAGGCAACGGAAGGAAAGAGTTAAGGCAACGGAAGGAAAGAGTTGTAGTTTATGGACATGGATTGAAGAATTTTTACCTTGCTTTCACATGTTGTGACAGATTAAGAATATGGAGTGTCACCACCCCTATTCATTCCGGGGGTCTCGTAAGAGCCGACTAAGGAAGCAAACTATTTCGGTCAACGGCACTGTTAAGAGAAGGAAAACTTGAAACATACCCTATACCAAACAGTCTGGCCAGAGTGGTATAGTAGGCCAAAACCTCCTTTCTTAGGGGAGGTCTATGTCCAGCAGTTGATGAAGATGATGAATCATCACATGATAAATCTTAGTAACTAATTGATTTACCCAGTGAAAGAAAACATGAAGGCATTCATGAAAATTTTACCTTCGCCGGTATTCCACGGTGATCAATACTGTGTTGATAGAATCTTCTATGATAACCTTTGATATAGCCTACGAGCTTACATTCATACTTAAAATCTACTTTCCATATTAAAGACCCATAACCGAACACCCACATCTTGGAAGGTACATAAACAGGAACTATTGATACACAATTTCATTCAATATAGATATATTTACAATTAGGTACATTACTATCTAATCGTAAAAAAAAGAGCAAGTAACCATGAAAACACGCCTTATTTGCTTATACATCACAAAATGCAAAAATCATCTGTGCATTGACAATAATGACATTTAACATGACCAGGCGGTACAATCTTAGTAGACAATCCTTGGAATGTTACGAAAATAATGAAACTAAACACAATGGTTTTTTATTTGTTCTAAAATTTTAACAACATTACGTACTCTTCATTTAGGCGTATAATACGTGTGTACTTCGCCAGTCGATACTTATAGATGTCGTTACTTTCGGTATAATCCGCATAAAACATAAAGTGAGTTGTTTTATTATCCCGGAACGTATATCAATTATCACTATTTTCTGGAATCATTATAAAATGACTTTTGGAAATAAAATGTTGCCATTATTTTTTTTTATTCATTGAGTTGGTAGTTATTTTGTATGATAAAATTGATAAATATGTATTTATTTTCTTTAAAAACAACTATTTTTACAGGCTTAGCCCAATGCAATAGTGTTATACCATCTACTTATTTAATATAGACTTATATTAAAAACTTTAAAAAATTTTTAGCACTTTAATACAATGTACAATGTAATTAATACAATGTACTCTGTGAACATGACTTAATCAAAGATTTCCACTAAACATTTTAGTGATGGACAAAGTAGGCAATGCTAATCATTTGACTATATAGATTATTTAAGTTTCTTAGTCAACCTACTCCGGCTGTGATCAAAGCCATCTTTTTGAATTTCGACAAGGAGCATTGCTTTAGAGATAAAGTAAAGGGAACCTTTATATATAAACTCTCACTCATATTCCAGGAGGATGAGTAGGCAGAGTAGTTGTAAGAAAAAGTAGATAAGAAAGGAAAGCAATATGAGGTGATTGATTGGGACGTGTAAGCAACAATGTTTAATGAAAAATTGGATGCAATTTTTATTGCAGTCTTCACATATTCGCGATCAATGCGTTAAAAAATAAGTTACAGTCAGTCTGTAGATGATGCAGACAAAGTCATTCCTTCCTGTTGCCTGTCTAAGCACTCGAGCATAGTTTTATTCAAGCATAATTCGAGTTATGAAATTGAAACTTTACATTTTATATTATTAACTTTTGATTTAATTGATACCTAAGAAATCTCGATTCCGTAATTGTCTCACTGATGATCATCAAAATTCGTAGGGTACTTCCTGAAGTCCTAGAAATCTGAAATTTGGTCTGTAAGCTAGTATTAGTAAAAAATGGGTCTTGGTCGTTTTTACCGTCACATGGGCGTAAGGTTTTTTCACTGTTCATTACTTTTCTGTCATACATGTCTCCTTGTACAGGCTCTATCGTAAATAGTCGGATACCTGTCATTAAAATATGACCAGGATCGGTCTAGCCGTTTCAAAGATTAGCTAGAACGAACAGATAGACAAAAACTTTTTATCGTAAAAAAACTATTATTATTTTGACCAAACTTTTGACAATTACGAGTAGGAGTTCCCAAATCCTACTCGTAATTGACAAAAGTAAATTTTTAAGAACAGTGAACTTTTAAACTAGATAGAACAGACTTCGCTTTGGAATTTTCTATGTAATTTCTGGTCCAGTCTCAACGTCAATATTCTAATGTAGTTTTTGTATTCTCTTTGGTTAATATAGCAACAACAAATACCTAACTTAAAATCATGATTATAAAACAGAAGATGAGCTTTATTAGTATAAAGAAAAACTTGTAAAAAGCTGTGAAATGAAGTCCTCATCATACCTTAAAAATTGATGAAAATGCAAATTATTTAGTTACAAAACATCGGGCTCAATGTCTTTTCCTTACAAACTAGACGTAGAGCCCGGTCTAAAACGTGCTTCTCTGTACTCCCGATCTACCACTTCGTCACGACATACCGCTTCAACATCAGGTAAAACTAAAAGCATTATTGTTCCAAGAGAAAGCAGAACTAACCCATCATATATTATCAATAAAGAAAAAGTACTGAGCAGTACTATAAAGCCTAGACATAACATTGATAATAATAAAAATACAAAGGAACTAGAAAGCGAGGAACCGGAGAGAAGTAATAAGTTCATAGAAATTGGTGTCAACACCCATATTAGTGGATCTTTGCAATGCAAACATAACTTTCTACCACATGTACGTAAACGAAATGTTTGTGATTGTAAGTATAGTTTTCATGATGATAAACGACGAGGCAATTGCAAAATGAGAGCAAAAGAAATTCAGGCCATTATTCCCAAAAGATATTTTTCGTCTGATAAAGCATGTAGTCAGTGGATTAAAACGTCGAATTGTGGTACACAGTTTTTTGAACAAATTCTTTCTCCATTAAAAACTATGCTTGACGCCTACGTTATCACGGATAATTTCACAACACCGACGTGCGGAGCTAATAATATTGAACAGGTGTCAGTTGAAAATGATAAGATGTTGAGTGATTCTAAGGTTGAAGCGGTTTTGACCTCACCAAGTATGGATAAAAAAACTTCGATGTCTGGTACCTATAGTGATATTGTGGAAGCGTGTTTGTCGCCAATTGGATTTAATAACATCAGTCCTAGAAGAAAGTCTCCTACTCGTTGGGCCATTTCGCCGTATTCTGTTCCTGGTCCTGACTTTTAATATTTGTTACTACTCGTATAAATATAAAATAACTAATGCAACTTACAAAATATGTTTATTAAATTAAATCCTTTGTTACTGCCGCCCAATTGGAAAAGCATCTCCACTACAGACAACATTTAGTTATTCGTACTTTGAGTTAACAAGAGAACACTCACATACATACAGGTTCCTACAGATTAGCTTACTTACTAACGCTTTAGGTTATGGCAGCAGGTTTGTAAGTTTTATTTCGTAAGTCAGCGAAAGTATCCAAACTACAATATTCAATACTGCGCTAGTGAAACCACAAAGGACGAGTTGCAAGAATCGTAATAAACTCCTACAATGACAGCAAGTAAAATGTAATAATCCATGACATGTATATTATAGCATACCATGACATCATGGTAAGCTTTGACGTGAAGTCGCTTTTCACCAATATGACAATCGAAAAGTGCTTGAACGTCCTGAAAGACCTGACACAACGAGATACCGTTCTATTAAATTGAACTGAACACTGTGTGATAACTCCTATTACCTTTTCCAAGGTCAAAATAAACTTTTAGTAGGTAGTTTCTACATAAAACAAGCTAAGCGCACTATTGCTGAAAGGGTCGAAGAATATATTGCTGCTAGGAGCACTCGATAGAGCCACAGGCAAAGCAGTTATTGCAGAATACCCACTCTAAACGGGTACCGCAGCTATTAAAAAGACAAAACTTTCAATCGCAAAATTAGTTTTAAATTATTTGCAGCATGGAATCTTTACATATTTTTTAATAGTCGCTTTTTTTCTTATACCCTTAGATCTTTCGAACTGCGCAACGGACTTTGAAGCGGTTTTCACTAATAGAAAGAAGGATTCAAAAGGCAGGTTTTAATGTATAAGATATGTATATTATAGCAGAGAAACATTCAAAGATTTGTAATGTAAAGTCGTAAAAAACCTGTTTTTGTGTGCTTACATAGCAAACGCTGCCTAAACCTTACGAGATGGGTCAAAATAATGTACTATAGAATAGTTTATCTTAAAAAGGTCTACAAAAAAGTCCGTGATGATAATTTTGAAAATACAGTACATAATATTTTTATCAAAATAAATAAGTTTGATACGTTGTGCATTTAATGTAGACCATAATTGCTTTTAACAGCAAATCATTTCGCAGCGGTGGCAGCCACGGAGTAGAGTAATATTACTGGAACGTGGCAGCGGCTGGCAAGAGCGGAGCGGGCTCATAAATATTGCATATAAAGATGTCCAGTAGTAATCTTCTCATAATAATAGTAAAATTAATTACTCCATACTTCACCACATTAGTAGTATCTACATTGCGCCCGTGCGAGGCCGGGCGGATCGATAGTCCGACGATGTGGTCCCGCTCAGCTCCTCGATCAAGGGTAAGCCCTTGATCGAGGAGCTGAGCGGGACTGCTGGCTCTATGTGAGAGTTATACTACAGAGCATGACTTAGTATACAATGCAAAAAAGACTGAAATGATGGTATTCATTTCGGGAAGAGGTCCGCATACGTTCCTCCGGTATTTAAAAAAAAATAACGGTATGGATAGGAAGCCAGAAAATTAACGTGGCGGGAAGGTTTAAGTACACATGCTAACATATCACATACTAACGTCAGATATGAGAGATGACGCTGACATAGACCGCCAGCATCGAGCACTCTCAGAAGTTGGCAATATGATCAGTTTTATCAAGACAACGCAACGTGTCACAAGTCAATCAAAACAATGGCAAAACTACATAAAAATGTAAGTTCGAATTGCTCCCACATCCACCGTATTGGTCAGATTTGGCTCCCAGCGACTATTGGCTGTTCGCAAACCTGAAAAAAATGCTCGTCGGTAAGAAATTTCGCACGAATGAAGAGGTTATCACTGAAACTGAGGCCTATTTTGAGGCAAAAGATAAATCATTCTACAAAACTGGTATTGAAATGTTAGAGCGGCGCTGGAATGATTGCGTTGCTCTTGATGGAGATTACGTTGATGATTAAAGCTAATTTTGAACCAAAAAAACTGTGCTTTCTTTGTTAGGCCCGGGACTTTTCAGGCCATGTGTTATGGCTGAAGAGTTTTCTGCAACAATAATAATTATCTTTAATAAATAGCCCTCATCGATTTCATCATGATAAATTTGAATAACCTTTATTCCTTGATTTTCCACCATTGGTATTTGTTCTTGAATGGAAAAATATTTTTCTAAATTGGGTCCCAAAACAAACATAAAAAAATCAACCGAATGAAAAACCAACCTTCTCCTTTTTTTAAATCGCTATCTAATAATATTTTTCGTTCTTTATTCTAACTGGTAAACTGTTGATATGACCGATGTTTGGTGGTTAACCACCAAACATCGGTCATATCAACATTTAGCTCAATGTAGTTTTAAATTATTTACTTTTTCTATTTATTTATGCTATTTTCAGTTAGTTTTCTTTATATTAAGTCCTTTGTAAAGCAAAAACTATGTGAAAAGGCTAACTACACGGTTACAGATTATTTAGATGACAAAGCTTGGGATTGATGCTGCTCACTCCCAAATTTACGTTCCTATCGTTGTTTGTTGTTATGTTTGAAAGTGATGGACATTAAATATTGTATTTCATATTTCGTTTGTTTTCAATTTGTTTATTTTTGTTGATCTTGAATTGTATACCTAGTATATTTGTTGTGTATGTAAATGTTAGTACCTATAGTGTGGGGTGCGTGGTCCGGAACCTCCTTGTGGTGCACCCTGGGCAACGGAGACGGCAGCGCCTCTCTCCCTAGGTGGGGGAGGCGCTGCCGCCTGCGGCCAATTCCGGCCGAGGTGGGAACGGCCCGTCAAGGGCTGTTCGGAGGGCTGCTTTCCGCGTGTCCCTCTGTTTGGCAGAGGGCATAGGGGAGAGCGGGCTGGGGGCGGACGGGTCCACTGCAGCTGGCTCTGTCCAGAGGTGGGGGACACTGGTCTGACGCAGACCACCGTCCGGCCATGTCGTAACCCTGACTGGCAACAGTCAGGAATGACGGCTCTTCGAGGGCTACGAGGAAGGCAACCTCTATAAAAATCCTGGGGCGGACGGACCCGGTCTGGTGCAGACCCCGTCCGGCCCAGCCGTAATCCTGAATGGACAGGACCGGTGGATCTTCGGATCCGCGAGGACGTAAACCTCTATAAAAATGCTCTAAGCCCACGTTGTGACGCCTGGCAAGGGGCTGAGTCACTGGAGGGAGTCCAGTGCCGAAGGCGTCCCCGTCGAAGGACGTTAAACTTAACATTATGACATGGGCCCAAAGATTGATAAATCTACCCAGGAGGGTACCAGACGCATTGCGTCTGGAGAATCCCTCCCGGAGCCAGACGGCTCCGGCAGCTCCCAAACGTACTCTGGGGGGAGCAACCTTTGTCTAACCTGCCCGTTGCCGAGCAGTAAATCCGGCGACCGAAATTACGCGGAGGACGCAAGAAACATGGAGATAGTGTCGAACACCGACACTGCCTCGGAGATGAGCGGAGCGAGTACCCCTATGGTCTCAGCTGCGGAGCAGCACCAGAAGGGTACTCCAAAGCGCAAAAGGCGCTCGCTTCGCCTGGGCCTGAAGAGGCAATTGGAGTCGGCCTCGAGCGATGAAGCCTAGGCTCCCAAAGTCGGCACAAGCCGCAGAGGCGCTCGCGGCGGAGGCCGACTTCCTAGGGTTGCCCAGGAGCAGAAGAAGGAGCCCCTACGCTCCTACACTCCCGTGAAGAGGGTCGCGTCCGAGAGGTCGACAGACGTGACCGAGGTGAGGAGCGAGAGGGAGGGTGAGCGGAAGCAGAGCAAAACCGGCAACCCCGTGGACCAGATCGAGGAGGCAATCGGCGTGGCCGATTGCCTGCTCCAGACGTCCGGGGTAGCCAGGGGTCCCGAACAGGAGGCCCTGGTAGCGGTCGTGCGCTCCATAATCGAGGCGGGACGACTCCTCGTGGCCGAGAGCAAGGCCCACGCTAGGGAGAGAGCCCGCCTCGAGGCGGATCTCGCCAAGGCTCGTGCCAACGCTGGTGCCACACCAGCGTCTTCGGGACCTGTGGCGTTGTCCGCCCGTAAGGAGCCGGACTTAGTCCGACTCGTGGCGGAGATGGAGGAGCGTATAATGAGGCGCATCTCCGCAATAGAGAGCGCCCGTTGTCGCCCACCTCTGGCTCCGCCAAGGGCAACCTATGCGGCCGCTGCCAGGGCGGGCCTAACAGCCCAGCCAGCAGCTAGGGTGGCTGGGCCGTCATCAGCGCCCCCGCCCCAGAAGACCGGAAAGGGCAAAGGGAAGGGGAAAGCGGCCCCAACCCAAGCCCCAGTCTCGGCCCCGGCTGACACCGCACAGCGCCCGTTGGAGCGGGGCTGGACGGTGGGCCGGGGACAGTAAAAAGAGGCGGAAGGCCGCCAAAAAAGCGGCCAAGAAGGCGAGGAGGGACTCCGCCGCCGCCGCGAAGGGAGCGCCGAGGAAGCTCCGCGCCCCTCGCTCCTCGGCCGTCGTTATCACTTTGACGGCGGAGGCAGCGGAGAGGGGCGTGGGGTACGCCGAGGTCTTGACGAAAGTCAAGGCCAACGTGGACCTCAAAGCCCTCGAGATTCCGGGCGTCCAGTGTAAAAACACACGGACGGGAGCCCGGCTCCTCGAGGTTGCCGGCACTACCAGTGGCCCCAAAGCCGACGCCCTAGCGGCTAAGCTGAGGGAGTCACTGGATGCAGCTGACGTCCGAGTGTCCAGGCCCACTAAATGCGCCGAAGTTCGCATCACGGGCCTGGACGACTCTGTCACGGCGGACGAGCTCAAGGCCGGAGCAATACGCTTCGGCCCCGGTGGACAGGGGGCAGCGGTTGTCAGCTGCCCCATCGCGGCGGCCCAGAAGGTCGCCGATGGACGGAGCCTCCTGGTCGGAGGTTTCCTGAGGGCGCAGGCACGACTCCTGCAGGCCCGACCGGCAAGGTGCTTTAGGTGCCTGGCGGTGGGGCACGTAGGGGTGCACTGCACGGCGGAGGCCACCGT